GCAGACACCAAGGGCAATTTAAATTAAAGGTACAGTGTTCTGCACTAATATAAAGGCTCTCTGAAGCCTAGAAACACCCTTTTATAAGTTAAATTCACAGCGAATATATTCGACTCGTATCTATAATCAAATTTTTTCCACAATTTGCCGAATCAGTTGAATCGAATTTTTGATACTTCGCTCATCTCTACTCAATATCTTCTAAAAATTCTTCAAACAAAGTGATCCATGCTATTTTCCATTCAAAAAGTGTCTTAGTGCTTGAAAGTGCTTGGTGACCCCTGCCCCTATTTGATCTGCGCGCTCACCCGACAAGTGGACTCTTTGCTTTTAGTGCACAAGAGTCTCATAAGCTTTTTCTGGAGAGGGATTCCTCCTCCTATACACTCTGGACTCTTTCTCTGCTGTGAGCAATATCCTATGTGATGGTTATGTGGTTAGACATATAGGTGTATTCAGTCATTTAAACTGGGGGGGGAGAGAACTCTCATAGTGTAGTAAATATGTTTATTAAAAAGAAGAATTAAAATTGCATGTACAACACATAAAATGTAAAACACCAAACTATTAGAAGGTAGAGTAACACCTCTGTGATCCAAGATGTGCCGCTGTTGAGAAATAAACTCATCCCCCTCACCCCCCCCCCAGGGCTAGACTGAAACCAGAAGAGTAGAGGAACAGCTTGAAGAACATCTAAGGCAACTGTGTCCATAAGAGAGATCAAGTTTATTTTTCAACAGTGGCATCCTTGGATCTGGATTCTATGTATGAAGGTAAATCACAACCAGTAAGCCAATGAGCAGAGAGCAGGGCCAAACTGTGGCTCTATGTGTCTTATGGAAGAATAGAGCAGCTTTCCATGGGGGCACTGCTCAAGGGCGAGGAGCCAGGGAGCACCAGGAGCACCAGGGACCTGAAAAGAAGAGGATTGGGCAAAACCACTGTACAGAGCAGGTAAGTATAGACATGTTTGTTGATTAAAAAAAAATTGCTTTAGTGTCACTTTAACTGGACTTTAATAGATATCCATTCTGAAAATGCAGAATGTTGTACTACAACTCCAATACCCAGACCATGTTTTGAGGATTTCTCTAAACTTAAACAAATGCTTATTCATTGTCAGCTGGAAACGTATGTTTTATATCAAATATACTGTATGTTCAGTTTTTAATTGACTTTTATCATTGCAGGGTACGTCTGTTTTCCCATTCCTGTATTCTGTACTGAATGAAGAAACCTATTTTGAAAAACCCTTTGAGTTCTATCCGGAGCATTTTCTTGATGCAGAAGGAAATTTTTAAAAAGAATGAAGCCTTCATTCCATTCTCTATAGGTAAATCTAAAGATAACGATAATGATGATGATAATTTCACAGACCTGATAGAATATACAGTAGTCTTTATTACTTGCAAAATGTTTACAGAAAAAGTTTGGAGAACACTGTTACCTAAGCTGGTTAGGTATTCCTTCCTCCCATTGTAGGGTCCCTACAATATTTTGCTCTCATAATTATGTAGCAATGAGATCATGTGAAACAATTATGCTGAAATTAATTATACCGCAATATTGAATCGCTTTGATATATGAGTGATCTTTTTTTTTTTTAAATAGACACTCTGCTACAATGAAAAATTAATTTAAAATAGATAAAATCAATCTTTATATTGTTGTATAAAACTTTAATTTTAAGAGATATTGTTTTAAACAACCAGACTTATTTGTTTATCACTATGGAGTGTATTCATAAAAAAAAAAAAAAGTCATAGCAATTTTCCCAGTGAATGTTCATGTATATTATTAAGCTATATGGCTATATCCTGTGCTGTTTATACTGCATTTGGCTACTAGATGGTACTAAGTATGATAACAAATACTTCTATCCACTATCCAGTGGCAAAATTGGATATTTTTCATGTTAAATCAATGAAAAACATTCCACAAGCACAGGAAATAACTGATAACATTAGTTCCCCCCTTTGCAATGAACAAATTTACATGCACTTTTCATAAATACGTTATGAATAAGGTCTAGTGTGTGACTGAAATGCATTAGCGTTTATTGCTTTATGGAATATTTCACTCTTTGCATACAATAAAGAAGAATTTTATTTTTCACCTTGTTGCTGACATTCAATGTTTTGAACTTTATATATAAGCAGGTGGAGACTGCTAGTTTGGCATGGTGAATGGAGCTTTAGCCTGAGAATTGCACAGGTTGTAGCACCTAGCAGGTTGAAAGCACCTTTAGCTTTTCCCTATGTGAGTGTTAGAATGAGGGAGATGGCACCAAATCATGGCTACAACCTGTTGCTGTCTAACCCTGGAGCCAATTTGAAGGCTTGTTGAATAGGACTTTGTTCATCCTACAACTTTCTCTAATTTTTTGTTGATCTATTGTCATGTATGACTACCTGGCAACATACAGGTCAACAGGTACCCATACAAGAACTAAGCAATGCAGTTTAAGGTGATTGCACTCTAAAATACACTTGTTGTCTTTCTCTAGGCAAAAGAAGTTGTATTGGTGAAACCTTGGCCAGAATGGAGCTCTTCCTCTTCTTTACATCCCTACTACAGAACTTCACCTTCCAGGCACCCCCTGGCGCTGAGATAGACCTTACCCCAGTTCAGGCAGCACTTAGTGAACCAAAGCCTTACCAACTTTGTGCAATACCTCGCAGCTAAACAGGTGTATTTAACCAACAAGTATTACATAATCTATGCCAGAGACATCTCATCTAACAAAAAAGAGATAACAGGAAAATGCACTGGACTTGAAGAAGCATATTTGTCAAATGCCTGGTTTATTCTCATGTTTGTTTCCATTGTGTTCTGGCTTAAACCAGTTGTGCACACTGGATGTACTACACTATAAAAAATCTTCAATGTTCACAAGCAACTTTAGTATGTCCTGTCCTTCTACCCCTCTGCCTTTACCCCCCTCGCTTGCCAGCAATTCCCCTCTGGTAAAATGGCAGCTTGGATTTGCTGAGTAAAAGAACCAGCTGAAAATGGACTGTCGGCGCAGTATTGAAAAAAGCATTTATTTCAATTGAAAAAACCTTACCAAAGCTTGTATAAGAATCATACATTTCATGCTGTTTTATAGGAGACAAAATTGTAGAATAAAAGTTTTTATTTATAGTAACACTCTTTTTTATATAACACTGATCGAATTAGAAAATAGTGTTTTATTTGCAGTATTGGTAATTTTTTTTTGCCTGTGGATTACATGTTAAAAACTATTTTTGCTAATATCAAAATAAAGCCTTATATATCTTAAAAAGCTACAGGTATTACTTTGTTATCTTAAGTAATGATAAAGCTATTGCCAAATCAATAGGCCATAACAGAAATTTAATCATTTCTCTTATCCTTAAGAGGTATACAGGTGGAGAACTGAAGTGGTTAACAATTTACCATTGGCAAAAATTGTTTACCATCTCCCATTGTTTAAGTGCAAAATCAAGAGCCCACACATGCATGAGCATACACATATAAAAACATTATTTTCAGAATTGATTAACTTTCTTCAAAGTGAACTTTGGACAAGGTTTTCCAATGTTTTAATGATATAAAATAGATCAATAGTCAAAATCCTTCAGTGCAGCGTGTTTACCCCCCTCGCTTGCCAGCACAGTGGGGATCGAAATGGGCACCCCTGGTAAAAAAAGCTTTGATTTGTGCATAAAAGAAGCCAGCTCAAATTACAGACTTCGGCGACAGTTATGAATATGTCAACAAAAGTTAGATTTTTATTCCATCATTTACACTTTCAAAATAACAGAAAACAAAAAAATGGCGTCTGCAAAAGTATGGGCACCCTGCAGAGTTAATATCTTGTACTGCCCCTTTGGCAAGTAAACAGCGTTGTAAACGCTTTTTGTAGCCAGCCAAGAGTCTTTCAATTCTTGTTTGAGGTATCTTTGCCCATTCTTCCTTATAAAAGTCTTCCAGTTCTTTGAGATTTCTGGGCTGTCTGTTCACGCACTGCTCTTTTAAGGTCTATCCATAGATTTTCAATTATGTTGAGGTCAGGAGATTGTGAAGGCCATGGCAAAACCTTTTTTTTACGCCTCTTGATGTAATCCCCCGTCGGATTTTGAGGTGTGTTTAGGATCATTATCCATTTGTAGAAGCCATCCTCTCTTTAATTTTTTTTCACAGATGGCATCAAGTTACCATCCAAAAAAAATTTTATTGAATCCATTTTTCCTTCAACTCGTGAGATGTTCCCTGTGCCACTGGCTGCAACACAACCACAAAGCATGATTGATCCAATCCCATGCTTAACAGTTGGACAGAGGTTCTTTTCATTAAATTCTGTGCCCCTTCTTCTCCAAAAGTACCTTTGCTCATTCCGGCCAAAAAGTTAAATTTTAACCTCATCGGTCCACGGAACTTTCCAAAATGCATCAGGCTTGTCTATATGTTCATTTGCAAAGTTCAAACAATGATTTTTGTGGTGAGGACATAGAAGAGGTTTTCTTCTGATGACTCTTCCATAAAGACCATATTTGTACAAACTTTATAGTGAATAGTGTAACAACTCCCAGTGTCTGCGAGATCCATTGCAGCAAACGTGGGTTTTGAATTTTTCACAATCCTGCGATCTGTCCCTTGGTCTTAAGTGCAAAATCAACTTCCACTGTTCCTGATGACTGCCATTTCTTAATTACATTCCGAACATAGGTATTGACATCTGAAAACGCTTTGCTATCTTCTTATAGCCTTCTCCAGCTTTGTGAGCGTCAACTATTTTCAGTTTCAGTTTTCTAGACAACTGCTTAGAAGAACCCATGTTCTGATTGTGGGTTATACAAAGTCTGAACTTTAAAAACCTTTGAGATTTCATAACTTATGTTTTAATGATAGAACAAATACATCATGATACTTAATATTACTTTGCAAAATATGAAAGTGCAGTGCAAACTGTTTGAGACCCCTTTCTTATTTTGAAAGTTGACACATATATAAATCTAACTTTTGTTGTTATATATATCTAATATAATTTATGCCTTTTGGAGATTTTTCCATCTTTCCTTGGCTTCTTTATATTAATACAAATTTTTAGCTGGGGTACTTTATATATACATACACACACAGTATGTGTATATATTCTCTTATTTTAAAAACTGTTGAACCAATAGAATATTTTTCTAGAGAAAAAAAATGCCAATTATGTCAGTAATCTATTTTCTGTGACGTTCTTAAAGGTGTCAATAAAAATATACTGTAATTTTTTTCATCGCTCTCATTGACTGTTTTATCAGCCACATCTCTGCAATTATTAAGCTGGCTCATAAATTTCGGAAACTTACATTTTCAGAGGGATCAGTAAATAGAAACCAATGGGTAGTACTGTAGAACAGAAAGCAGGAAACAATCTGATACTCACTGGTTCAATAGTTTACAAGTATATTTCTAGTAAAAAATTAATAGCTAATTCCATTGTGAGAATTAAAAGACAAATCTAGCCCTGAGTCTACTGAGTTGGATACAAACAGTTTCTATGGAAGACAGGGGCACATTTTTGTAACTTTGTCCTTAAATATGTAAATGTTAAAAACCTTTTTTCTCCAAGTGGAAAGAATGCTCTCATAACGTTTTTCATAACATTTAAGTGAATTACTTTGCACTGTTTTCTATAATACAGGTCTTCAAATAGGCAGACTGTATTATTGAAGGGTATGCAAATGCAATACACAGGACAACAGAATGTTAGATTAACTGAAGAGCAGGTTAGCCTTACCTATGGCCATTAACTTACTCCACAATAGGGCTAAGCCTCATTACACTTGTCCACATAGTATCACTAAGTTATCAACTGTTGTAGCATGAATGGCACAAAAGAAACCTCAATTTAATTATTTGCTTCAGATATTCAAACAATTTTCCTGGGTGCATTCTACGCATACAGTCCCAATATTGGACGGGTGTATGCATTGCTGGAAAAGGGGTACCCCTGGTGGTGTCTACAGTACCTGGCACCCAATTGTCAAGGTTAGCCGGCTGTCATTGAGGCCCTCTTGAAGGGTGGTGCACATGTAGCTGTCTTTTTAATGTTTTTTGCAAAAGATGGCTAATGGGCTCTTAGGTAAGGATCTGTCTCTATTTCTTTAACTATTGGCAGTAAAGGATTAAACTCTGCAGCTCCACTTACCAATCCTGACATGCAACAGGACTGGTCAATACGCTTGGTGGTCAGTTGGCCCTGCAGTCTCAGTCCTCATGTTCAGCTACTCAAGATCAGATCCTCACAATTAGGTCCTCTCTGATGTGGATGCAGACAGCAATCAGTTTCCTCTGCTTGGGTTCCAAGGCACAGCAACTCTCTCCTTGGCTCAGTCTCTTGCTCTGGTCCTCACAGGCAAGCAATGCACAGGTTCAACCACACTGGTTCTCCACACTGTCTGCCTGCTGTCCTGCGCAGACCCCAGCAACAAGTCTGCACTTTTTGGCTCTCTGCGCTGTTCTGCCCCCAATTTCTGTAGATTTTCTCAGGAAAAGTTCTGTGTCTTCTCTCCTGATGTGCAGATAATCCTTGGTATTAATGTCTGGGGCTCCATTAGTCTCCATTAACTTATATGGCACTATGCTCCATTAGGAACTACAGTCCCCAGAATACAGTGTACCTGCATAGCAAGTTTCTCCTTCCCCTTGATTACTGCTATTGCCAGGGGGAAGGGGGGTTGCAAGAATATTAGCTATGAGGCTGCAAGAAAGGTTAAGGGCACAGCTTGGCCATTCTATATTGCACAGACTGGGGGTAAATTTCACAGAGACTGCAGGGAATAGATGCTGCTTTTGAGACTCCCCAGAAGCCTCCTTGAAAAAAACAAGGGTGTGTGAGTTTACAACCATGGGCATTTATAGTGTGATTTTTGGATAGATATAATATTTTTTGTAATTTATTATATAATACTGTATATATGCTTGGTTGTAAACAACAGTCAGCAATCTAACTCAGATATGCTACTGGAATATTATCTGTGTATTTGATATATACATTGTTGGCATTATCTATTGATTCTAGAGACTTTGGTTTATGTGGCAATTATATATATATATATATATATATATATATACTATATACTGTATATATACCATATTAATTTGTTGGATATTATATACTGTATATCTATGTCATCATGTAGGGGAGGCTACAAGTGTTAGAGCAGTGTGAAGTGATGGGCTGCTATGTCCCTTTATGCTCCTGTGGCCTTGCCTTGGGTAAGAAAATACAATATGACAAAGAGAATATGATATGTATATTTTACATTTTTTAATATATATTTTTATACTCTGTTACTCTGTACATTTACTGATCTGTACCTTGAATTGTAGATTCTGATATGTATTTCTCCTGACGAAGTCACTTTGACCTCAAAATGCATAAAGATCATCAGTGACCCTTCTTTTTAACTCCATTTGTGTAAAAAACTTTTTTTGTAATAGGTGTTTTATGTAGAATTTACATTTTTATATTCTGTAAAAATAAAATTTTGTATGTTGATATATGTTTGTGATTAATTTGTTATCGGGTGCCTTAAAAAGCAAAGTGCTGCTCCGCTTCAACTCTGCCCTTGGCCAATAAAAACCGACTCCACAAATCCCCGAGCTGCTTCTCCCAAGAAATCTCCTTGCCCCCCACCATCGCACACATTAAAAAATATTTACGACTT